TTTCTTTCGTGCTGATCTGTTCTTTAGCAGCCAAAGTCTCTTTCCAAAGTCAGCTATGAAGATCTTATTTAGGACCATTGGAGGCAGATCCTCTGCTGCTATCAGCAGCAAAAAGATTTTCCCCCCCCCCAACAATCAAAAATGGACACAAATCACAATCTAAGAAAAATGATTCCCTCCCCCCCCCAAAAGCTTAGAATGTGTGCAGCACGATGTTTTTTTCTTTTAGCTTTACCTTGTTCTTCAAAGTAAGAATGCAGTGTTTTATTTCTAATCCTGTACTTGGACATCTAAATGAGTGTCCTGATTCCATTTTGGCAGTGGGCTTCTAATTTGTTTTTAATTTCTGTGTTTAACTGTTGTTTCAATTTATTTTAGTTTGTTGTGAAGAATTCAGTGGAAGAAAATATGCTGAGCATCCAAAACAAGAAGAGGAAACTGGCTGCAGGAGCCTTTGCAACTAAAAAGCCTACTGCTAGTGAAGTGAAACAAACCAAAATTAATGAAATTAAGACTCTAATTGACTTATAATTTTTGGGATAGATGGTTAATTATTTGTGAATAACAAAGTTATAGCTGATATGGCAGTCATGTTCATAATATATACTTCACATGGGTTTATAATTATGCTACTAAGTTCATTGCCAGGGCTGTAAACTCAAATAGTGAAATTTAATTTTTTCCTGGTCAGTTTCTCTGTATTAACACTTTTCCCCCCCTTTTAATATGTGTTGCATTCTTGTAACTTGTAAAGCTCCCTTCACTTCCTAAATGTTATAACTTGTGTTTATACAAATAGTTTGACAAGGACCAAAAATCCCTGATTTAGAACAGAATTATAGTAATGACTTGCCTTTCTCTGCCTTTTGTATATGCAAGTATTTGATTTTTATTTTTAGAATGAAAATTCAAGTAGTATTTTTTCTGGTGTTGAGAATATTGCCATCTTTTCTTCCAAAGACAGAAGTATTAAGTGTGAGTAATACATAGACTGAACATAAATCTGTCCTTTAAACCAAACCAATCGTGTTTGCTCCCCGCCCCCAATAGCTGATCAATAATAATTGCAAAACTAGTAAGGTGATACTATCTTCTAAGAATAATATTACTATATTATTTTCTAGTTATCAGTCTGTATAGTTTTACATGTTTTTATAGTAAGTAAAACACTTTACGGAAAGACAGCTTCTGTATCTTCCTGTATGGATGCAGCAGGGAACTAATTGTCTGAAGTGAATTATGTTATGTATAAAGCCCTCTAATTTTGTGCATTTGTGTAAAATTTCTCAGAAATGTATGGAAATTCTAAATTTATATCTCCACATTTTTTTTATAGAATATTTGGATAAGAGTATTTAAATACTAGTTTAGCACTAGTGCTATTACCTAAGCATCTGTGAATTTTTACTGTCCTACAGTGTAGGTATTTGCTGCAGACAATATACAAAGTGTCCTTTTGTTTGTGATGTGTACTATGCTTATGTATTGGGAGGGAAAGTGAGTAAAAGCTGCTTTTATAATGGTTACAAACGCAACACATTTCTCCTACTAATCAACATAATTTGGAAGATGGCAGATAGAATATTGATTCAAGTACAAACTGACTTATGGAAGATGAGTAGTTTGGTTTAAAAAACAGAGACTAACAAAAAAAAAAACAAAACTCCTCAAATGCTCACTTGGATTTGTCATTATGCTCTTTTAATCCCACCTACCTTATCCCAGCTGTTTCTGTCCCTGGCATCTCCACCACAACTGACCCAACTCTTAGCCTAATTATATCAGATCCATAATCAAGAAGAAAAATAGGGAAAGTCAGGATAAGTCTGTAGCAGCAGGGAAATGATTATGATTTTTTCCTACTTTCAACTTAGCAATAGCTGGCTAGTGTTCTAAAGGGTAAATGAACAGCAACTGCAAATTTTGATACCTTCTAAAAGAATAGTGCAGGTTTTTAAAAGGAAATCTAAAAGGACCTTACTTGTGTTCAGCCACAAAACAATACTAGTCATTTTAATATTTTTCTTGTGCTAATACACTAATATGACAGGAATACTATTTAAAAAGAATGTATTTTCTCACTCTTTAAATTCTGTTACCCTGGTGCCCAAAGTTGTCCCATTTCCCCCTGCCCCCCAGTCTTGTAGGCAGGATCATAATGCCTTAGGTACTCTGTCAGATAAGAAAACAAGACTTACTCTAGGAGGTTACACATTAAGCAATTCACAACAAGCAAGTGTAGTAGTAGTAGGGAGGGGAGGCTGAAGACTATTAGAACTAAGCTAAGACAATAAAAGTATATGACTATCATTCTAAATAGACTGGTTTTAAACTAAATCTGCAATCTGTACTAGTTTACCTAGTCACTAACAGATACTTCCATAAGGCTTGCCTTAAGGTATAATCTTAAGAATGGACATCTTCTCCACAAAGATATGAGGGAAAG